GTGTTTACTGGGAAAAGCCTCTGATAGTTGGTTGATATTTCATGTTTTATTCGTGGCATAATTTCCAGTCATGAGGCAGCAGATTTTCCCTGTCAAGATGAAGAGGAGAGATCAAAGGAACCCAGCCAGGCCTGGTCAGAGAGGCTAAACTGTAGTATTCAAACCTAATAATATTCCTAATGGACGTAATCATCTTATATCCAGTTTCTCTACATAAAATCTTTAAGAGTCAGAATCTGTCGAAGCAGAAAACAAAGTTTCTGGTAGCAGTAGTTGGATAAATGCATTTATTTGAACTTCTGCATATAATATGTAGAGAAGGCACTTATTGAATTTAAGGTGGTTTCAAAGAGGTTTAAACTATAATCAGCTTTATTTCTTTTAACAATTATTACAAGAACAAAAGAGCAAAACAAACAACTTTATGTACTAAATTTTAAAATAAGTTAATAAAAACGAATACTCTAACCTACGCCTGCCTTACTATTTCTATTGTGAATGAAGAGGAAAGGTTGACGTCTTTCATTGCCAACAAACTTTAAGCAATTAAGTGTTGAGTTCAATTTTTGGTACTAACCAAATATTTTCCCACCACAATTTACAAACATTCTTTAAAAATCATACCATATGATTTCTCTGGATTTCTTTTTCGACATTTTTTCTCTCATATGAAAAAATTTACAGATCTCTTTTGTCTTTCCAAGTAGAACACCTTACACAAGTGGCTGACAAAGGCTTCTTCCAAATACCACAAACTGCAGCTCCTACCTATAGTTCCAAGCTCCTATCCCTTTGCTTTTCACAGGGTTAACAGTAAGAACACTATCCAGGGTAGGAAATGAACTCCGGACTGCTTTGCTAAATCATAATGGACACACACATGAATGATGCTGCTCAAATTGGGACTCAAGCATTCCAGACAACAAATTACAAAAAAAAATGTTACAAAACTGTTGCTAACAGCTGAAGCTCTCTTTTATAAAACCCAAAACATATGAAGGTGTGAACATAGTATGTGTTTCACAGAGTCAATATCACACAATTTATTCAATCTGTCATGCAAAGGATTGTGGGAAATCGCTCCTAGGATCCCTATGCTATCTGCATTGGGGTTAGGAAGCATACTGTCTCCTGGTCCTAGCTCCTTCCTAATTGCCAGCACTTATTATGGCACCTGTGGATCCACTTCCAACAGGGTTTAAGTATTCGTATTGAACCTAAATATTTTGTTGCCCCGCTGTAGGACTGCTGTTTTTTTTTTTTTTTTTTTTTCCTCTATTTTTAGTGTGTTGTGGTGTTCTTGTTCTAAACTGTGTGTGTACAGTGTAGATTTTTTTTTCTTTTTTTTTTTTTCCTTTTTTCCATTTCCCTAAGACTGAAGCACCCTATGACTTTTTATCTGGTAGTAAAATATTTTATATATCATACAGATAAATATCCCTAAAAATACTCAAATCTAAACTATGTATCTTTCTCAATAGATACCATTTCCATCGGTTGTCATCCCCTGTACAGTTTGACCAGTCAACCTTAATGAATTATAACCTGTCATGAAGTCGCAATACACTGAAACATCCTGCTTTTTGTATTACAATCTATTTAGTCGCATTTCCTTACAGCTGAACATAGAAAATTACTTTTAATCACGGATTGACGAAGTGGGTACAAAACATCTCCACTTGATCTGTTAGCAGATTATTTTATAAAGCTTAGTTTAAAAAAGAATTGGGAAATTAGCAAATAAGCCTACTCCTAGATTACAGCTGAAAAACATATTTTGGCTTTTTTGGTAAAAATTAAACTCTTGAAAGCTGTATTCTAAAGCAAATAGAGTATTTGCTCATGAACACAATAGTCAGTAAATACTTGAAAAAAACAAATGTACAAGTTGCAACAAATAAATTGATTACCAGAATAAAGACAACAATAATCAGAAAAGCAGCCAAAGACCTTTGGAGTAGTTCCGGAGATCCATTGGTCAGGTGGGCAAATCGGTTGAAAAACAGCCATTTAGACATTTATTCTATAAATCTGCACTGAAAAAAGTAATGCAACCATTTCTGGCATTTACTTAATCACATTTAGTTACTTTAACACAATTGTTTCATGTTAGCAGGGTAGGACATAAAACAAGTCTGTTAAAGTATGATTAAGTAAATGCCAGAAACGGTTGCATTATTTTTTCATTGTGAAATTTGAGTGTCAAGGGGAAAAAAGCCATTTATAAACACATAAGCCATAAAAAGTCCTGTTTTCAGTTTGCCACCATTAATGTAGGCGACACAGCAAATGTGGTGGAAGGTCTGAGGAGATCAAAACAAGACTTTACATTAGAGTAAATCTCACACTGCACTGCACCCTAAACACACAAACCCACCGTGAAGCATGGTGCTGGGAGGATCATGATGCGGGCATGCTTTGGACTGGGAACAGAGTTGGTGACGAGACAGAGGGAGCTAAATACAAAAGGATCCTGAAGGGAACTCAGCTGCAAAAGACTGCAAAAGCAGGAAAATGACCCACTAATGCTAAAATAGGATCTAATCTGAATCAGTTGGAGCTCTTTTTTAAAGAATCCACAACATCTTCAGTGTATGTAAGCCAAAATGTAGCAGTAAAAGGGGCATGGCTTTGATTGCAGCAAAAGTGTTTTTACCAAAACTCCATTTAATAAAAAATGCACTTCATTGTTGTTGAGCTGAGAGTCTCTCCACACAGATGCAAACACTCAGATTCCAGAGGAAGACAAGATGAAGGCCCGAGGATGAAGAGTGTTGATTTATCTTTATAGAAGCCCCCCATTAGTTTTTCCCTCCATTAAAAATAATCAATTGCAATTTTATGGTCTCTTTCCAAGGCCAAGTACAACCCGTCCTCACATCACTATTGTATTTATAGTACAAAGATTCCTATCAGCTGTGTGGAGATAAATCATCAGGACACCTGATAACATCACATCAGCAGAAGACTAAAATATTCCTGAAAAGCTTTACACCCTGCTTCAACGTTTTTACTCAGAAAAGCTGCAATGTGCTGATGTTTTCCATCTAAGGATAGCAACAGGGTGAAATAAAACAGTAAATATGAGCAACAAGAGAGATCAAAAAAAAAAAAAGAGGCCGCTGTATACGTCGTTGGCAAGGCCAATTTCTACCAAATATTTCCTGCCAGATGCGCTCATTCTTAAACCAGCAGACTGTCACGACTCGGATCCGATTGTCTTGATTCACAAAATGGATTTTTGAAGCGAGCTGCCGATGAAAACGCCCCTCGCGCTTTTATTTCACATGATGTCTTAACGCATAAAAAACACACCCACGGAGAGAGGAAGGATTTCCACGGCTCCAAATCGCCACTCGCGGCTCAGAGCTTTAATAAGTGTTGCATTAATTCTCACCGTAAATGTAAGGAGCGCCTCTCTGCAGCCCGGAGGTGATGGAGATGCTGTTGCTGTGAGGCGAGTGATGATGTGTGAGCTCTGGTGGAGTGGAGAGAGAAGCCCACGCTGTCCACGCACACTCTGTGATGCACAGGGCTCCCCTCCCTCCCCTCTATTACAAACCCATCACGAGCGCACTTTAAAGGCTATTTGGTGAACGGCTTATATGCGCAGTGGCATTTGAACGCGTCTTGGTGTAGCTGTCGCCCTGATTGGGTTCATTTCCGTGTTTGCAGCACGTTATGATGCTAAATTTATTATATATGTAAATATAAACAAGCCCGTTATCTCCAGACTTTATTGGCATCATTATTTTAATGCGTGCGCGCACAAGCGGCACGTGCGAGCTCATCCAGACTCCTGTTACCATGCCAACCACTTCCATATACCTCGGTATGCGCCATATGAGAAATGTGAACCCCCCCTGAATATTTCCACGACTGTATCTGGGAATTATTGATGACATGGTGGAAACTGCTTCATCCAACCTTACAGCAACCAGCTTTCATAAAAATTATGGCGCAAATCTAAATTTCATGAATAAAATCATAAATATTAATTGGATCAGTAGGTACAATTAAATGCATTATTTAAGGCGCTAGAAGAGTCTCAATATCCACACATATATAGCACAAGAAGCTCCATAATTATATGTAAAAAGTCTGAATTATTATTTTGTGGTTCTATTGCAGGATTTCATGAACAATTCACTCATGTTTATATTATGTGGTTTCTCTTGTGTCTGTTTATCAGAAGGGAAATCCTCCAGTTTCTGAAGGCTTTTATTTGCCTGATTGGACATTTGCATTTTGTTTTAGCTGAAGACAGATTTAACAAATTCAGTAGGACAAAATATCCAAAACTGATGTTCAATATTATAGTTAAAAAGAACCACCATAAGAATAATAAACCTTAATATAAAACAAGATAAGGACCCAGTGTTTACTGGGAATCTACTCCAGACATTATGAGCTTAGTATTTAATACCTGTGTTGGATTTTGAATCATATTAAATACTTTAAATAATTAATATGTGGTTTTACTACTCTTGCTGAATACCCTTTCTGAGATAAAATTATAAAGTGATGCTTTTATTGTCAACGCTTTGCTTATTTCCATGACCTTGCAAACTGCAAAAACAGGTCCTGGAAATAAACTAAACTATGCGTTTAGATTACTGGAAGAAAAACAGCCGGTCTTCACATGCATAAAGTATTAAAAAGTTAAAAGCTTAACATGATCAAAGTGGGGTGTCCAATCAATCTTTGTTTCAATCTAAGCTCTACATTATTACAAAACATTACAATAAGAGGCAAAACTTTATTTTTGGTGTAAATTGCGATAAATTTACTTTTTTAATTGACATAAAAAGCACCCAAATTCTGCTCTTTTATTAGTGTCCTCATAATGTAAGAAAATAAATGTTGAGATTTTCATCTAAGAAGATCAAGAATTTTTATTATTAAGAAAATACCCCATAAACAATAGAATTGTACTAAAAATTTATTTGCCAACTTGATTTTTTCTGTACAATGACCAAAAAAAGGAAAGAAAAAAAAAAAAGAAAGATACTGAAACAACAGGAGTAACCTTGAACATACAAAAAAAGCTAAACAGCAGCTGATTTATGCCGTCTAACATGGATCATGGTGCTGTTAAGGCACCCGAGGAGGGGCACCTGGGGGCCTAGGTGGCATCGGGGGGGCTCTCTGAAAACCAAAAGGAGGACGAGGAGGACCAGGAGGGGCTGCGCCGTAGCCGGGTGGAGGCATAGGAGGAGGAGGCCCTCTCATACCTGGAGGCAAATTGGGAGCAACGGAAGTCAACATTGGTTAAAAACATCATATTAAAGTATTCCACTAACAGGTATAGAATTGTATGTATTGTTTGAAATAAAAAACAGCAAACAAAAAGATGAACATGGCTTTAGCTCTGATAACTTGGTTTTTCCAAAAAAGGTTAAAAAAAAATCCACTGGACTTTGTTTTCAAGTTTGAAGATGTTTAGTTTCCCATTCAGGAAGTTTTTTCAATTCAAAATGTCAGAAATAGCATTGAGTTCGAGGCTTTATAGAGTGGACATAAAACAAAGCCTTGTTTTGGATTAGAAAACATGCAAATAAAACCAGATAAACAGGGCCACCCGTTAAGAATGGAGGTTGTTTGATTTCTTTGTTAGCCTGCAATACCCGATACCTGTTTATGTCTCTGAAAGTATAAGACACGGCTTAGTTGTGTTTGCTGTGCTTTAAGAATCACTAAAGCATCTAACCAATGCTGATCTTTGACACACATCGCTCATATCCTGTTGCCATGATAATATTAAATATCTTTTTAGCTATGTTGCTCTTGAAATACTCAATATAATAAACGCTTCATCCAATCAGATTATTTTTCAAAAGCCCTGAAAAGATAAGTGTTAAAACCACCTTTAAAGAACCATCAGTAGTAATTTATAACAGGCCTATATTCAATCTAATATTAATAGCAAAAAAAACAAATATCGATAGTGGGGATGTTCTGATCTGGTAGTGGCATCTGAACTCTAATAAAAGCGAGCTGGTAGAATCAATGCTTCTGTTTCAAGGTTTAGAGTACCATCTTTTATATCCGGGTGGATCATCTAAATAAGTGGTCCTTTAATTGTCAATCATTCTAGTGATATGTTTACGTAA